TCTTTTGATTTTTTCACGTACGAGATACTCAGTAAAGTCCAAGCTTGATACCATTTGTTTTCTTTGACAATGTTCCCGGAGAAATTGTTAATTCTTGTGATTGTAATCAATAATTTGAAATAAATTGACTGTTTCTCTAAGATATCCAAGTTGCATGTGTTTTTCATTATTGCATTGAATCAACTAACAAATGTTCTATTTTAGATCCTGCAGCCATGTCCATTAAATATAGCTGTGTGCTATGCCGTCAACATCAGCATGCATGGGCATCTTCATAGAAATGTATACCATATGTATACCTTTCCTCAAAAGTACACTTTGAGTATACCTGTTGAGTTCTTTTTTTGTTTTTTGAGGTTTATCAAAGGTATACTCTTCGGAAATAAATGTACCTAGGATATACTTTCCAGAAATAAATACACCTGAGGTATACTTCTTCCAAAGAGGTATACCCAAAGTATACCCATCAATGTGCCCAATTCTGGACTACTCAAGGTATACCAGTTGTTTCATTTGTGGTACACATTAGGTATATCTAACTTATGCATGCAGAGCGTACCTTGGGTATACTTTCAGTATACTTGATTTTGGTAAGGGTGAACACACTTATAATGAACGACTGCATGCCATTCAACAAGAACAAATGCAAATTCAAAAAGATCGAGTCAAGTAGAATTCTTTGACTATGTATTCAGTCACAATAATGTCTCTCCTGGTCCTGCAGAGGTAAAGTCATTCCTCGGTTTGGTTAATTACTGTGGACGTTTCATTTCAATGTCTGAACCACTGCGAGAGCTAACCAAAGAATCATCAAAGTGGAAATGGGGTGAAAAATATACAGAATAAAAGAGAAACTAGTGGCCAATAGAAGTCTTTTTCGATGCAAATCCAGTTGGACTAGAAGACATATTGACACAGTCGCTAGTAGAGCAGAGAAATTCTCAGACTGAATGAGAGGCACTAGCCATCACATGGGATATATAACACTTGTATACGTATCTATACAGAAATCAGTTTCAAGTAATGACTTACCACAAACTACTTATACCGCTATTCAACACCCCAACGCCAAAAGCACCAACACGAATGGATGTAATATCACGGGGAATTCTTCTCCTCTGAGGTTCTCCACACGTGTCAGGGGAAAATCTCGTCTCGTCTATCTATCGCGTCCCCTTGAGGTACGGGATCGGGAAAGTCACTTAAGCTTTACAGTCAAATAAGACACACACAACGAAATACGTTTCAACTTTCGTCTTAGTCGATCAGTCGAGCACTCTATAAGACACAGCGCCCTGGGGAAAAATCCCCAAGACTATCGCAAGGCTGACCCAAGACTAGCCCAAGACTGGACTGCCTCAAGGCTCGCCCCAAGACTCTCTAGGACTGGACTGCCTCAAGGCTTGCCCCAAGACTCTCTAGGACTGGACTGCGTCTATCGTGTTGTACTCGCCAAGACCAACTAAAACAACTTTATTCATTTCAAAACCTTGACCAATTACAAAGCAGTATTAGGACTCTAGGGCGTAACCTTCAATCATAAAGCCAATCACACTAATACCAACTGTCAGAAATAGTAGTCCGAATAGCGACAGTTATCTCGTAATTAGTTCCAAATCACTGAGTCGAGTTCCGTCCAGGACCTCGCCTGCCTAAACGATGACAGACATAACACAGCCATTCGCTAATAATCAGCTAATTAAGTCGATTAACAGATACGCAAAAACAAATTCATCATAGTAAGATGGATAGTTTACCAGCCTAGAAAGCTGTATCCCGCTGTATGTCACTTCATCCATTACCTTCAACAAGACCATCATGTCCTGAAGAAAAACATCGCAGAAGAGCACATCAACTTCATAACTTCATGATGCCCTGCAACTCTGCATAAACGCAATACATGATGGGAAATGGTACAAAAAGCCGAAACATGGAAAATTAGAGGCAACCCTTCGAAGTCTACATGCAACACGTGATAAACTCACCATCACTTTCTCCAAAGATCTTGTTCTTCATGGTAATCGGATTATCATTCCACAAATACTACGACAAAAAATAATCGATATAGCCCATGAAGCTCATCAAGGGATCGTAAAGACCAAACAACTCATACGAGAAAAATGACTGGTTTCCACGAATTGATGCAATGATTGAACAAACAGTCAACAAGCGAATACCTACTCGTTGTTACTGATGACTACAGTCGCTTCCCTGAAGTTGAACCTATCTGTTCTACCGAATGGTGATCCTGTGATTAGATCGCATATTCTAATTACTGGGTACACTGCTAATTGTACGCACAGATAATGGACCACCTTTCAATAGAGCAGAATTTGAATCCTTTACTAATTATTTGGGATTCAAACATTGCAAATTTACTCCAAGAGCAAATGGTGAAGTTAAATGATTCTTGAAGACTATAAAAAAAAAACAGCACACACTGACGACATACCATTTTAACAAGAACTCTACCAATTCCTAAGAAATTTCCGTGCTCCATCGCACTCATCATCTAATGAACCATCCGGGAAAACTCATGCTTAATCGATCATTTAGAACACGTCTACCACAAGTTCCAATGACTCGACTCTACGTCAACACGACGACAAGCGAACATTGCAAATAAAATCCTATGCTGATGCTCGCATAAATGTTAACAAACATCCTATTGCAATTGGCGATACTGTACTACCATACGTGAAGGGTACATTGCAAAACCAGTTTTGCCATATGACACAAAACCATATAAAGTCTCCGCTTCTAATGACAGCATGGTTACTTCAACAAGACGTGACCATAAGATAATACTAAACTAATCATTCTTCAAGAACCTCAAATGCCAACATCCAACACAAATCGACGAGGAAGAAAATGATATTCCAGCCGATGACAGGGACACTACTAATGATGCCGAGACCACACCTAGCCCTCACGTTATCCGACTAGTGAACGCGAGCCGCCATCCTACCCGCAAGAGTACATCACTTAGCATAGGGAACTGGATGCGGAATATCGATTCAAAGGGTGAATATACTAGAAGCCTCTCCCCACAAGTTAGGTTTAAACTTTTAATAGTTTTATGTGTTTTGTACATATTTGTGTACTCACATTTCATTGTATATTACTCATATTTTACTCGAAATTACAAATTCAAGATTTTGAACAATTGTTGTCCAGCAAACACTTTTCCGATATAAGATATTCCAGTGAACATGCCATTTCCCTCATACTCTATTGAGACTTGACACAGCACAGTGAAAACAAGATCACACGTAATGCTCGAAAACTTTTCAGCGAAAATAAATTAAGTGAAATTCTATGTGACTTCACAAGAATTGGAAATGAACAAATTATATGACATCCACCCCTACCCCTCCATATTCACTACACCCAAAACATCCTTTCACCAGTGGATTCTATTTGACTTCAGGAGAAATTGAAATAAACAAATTATATAACAACGAACGTCAGGGTAATTATAATTTCAGTCTCTAGTTCAGCACTGGAAGTGCCAGTCATTCATTTACTATTGTAATGTCAATTTCATGTGATTACTGGAACATGAAGCTGTAACCACAGACCGTCTTGGTGCTGAAACTAAATCATGGTGTAAGCACTAATTAGCTGGTTCCACATGCATAGTTCACGCCTGCCTAAGAAGTATATCAAATCCTATAGATTTCTCATTGTTTGATAACTATCTGCTGCAAGTGCAAGTAAATCATTATAAAAATATTACCCACACAGCATTCTACAGGTTACTTGTCTTGTGCTGTGTTTGTTCTCACATCGAATGGTGATCACGACAGAGATAGTTGTTGATGAATTAAGACAATCCGCCTCAAGTCTGTTAGGATTCATTATTAAATTCGTTGACATTTTACGATAACCCAGTCAGTTAGAAAATCTAAAATTAAGACGTGCGCAAGATTAGATGTCATTGACAAATCAATTCAAAATCAATTTGGAAGATGTTGGAGTCACGACAAGATAACAAATACCTTATGTTAGATTTTGGTCAGGTTGACGTGTTAAAGTTACGTTGTCCCTTTTCACAATGTAAATAAAACTCTGTGATATCAATATGTGCTACTTGTATTGTACTTACGAAATAATGCAGTTTGAAACAATGAAATTAAAAATACCTTCTAGATTACTAAATAATTAAAAATGTATTTTCAGATTGATTAAAACAAATGCAGTAACAGACTTCACTGTCCATATCGTATGCTCTTTCTAACTTGTATCCTATGACAGAAAGATTTACCCGTCTAGAAATGGTTCAACCCACTTTAAATAGAATGACCCTTTTAGGCGATTGTCTCATTGCGTCGCAGGGAATAACGTCACTCAGAGTGGTCAATATGTCAGCAGAGGAAAGACTGCATATATTGTCACGGCATTTGCGCCAACCTGAAGGCTATCATGCCAACATTGTATCCTTTTATGCTTTGGTTAGTGCTTTGTGTTTTTTCTGTGGTTGGAATTCAGTTGACAGTACTATATATGACAATGATGTTTTGATATTGATATTGATATTGTTTTTGTTTTGGGTTCCAGAACTGTACTGTGCTTCTTTTCCCAGCAGGCACTGATATTTGTATTCGCATGTTCTCTGTAATTTACGCTGATTATCATTGCACTTGGACCTGACAATATTAATAATGCCTCAATGTATCATTATTGTTGGTGGTATGAGTACATACATTCGGACTTTAATCTGTGAGTTTAATGTATTTTGAACTTTTGAGTGAACTTTAACAAGCAATACCTTAGATCAAGTTAATATGTATCTAACAAATCACTACTATGTCGACATTCTCACGTACCATTGTGCTAAATTGTCTCTCAAATCTCGAACGTTCTAATTTACATTACGTGATTTTCCACATTTACATATACGTCTTTAACAATAGTATCTGCAGACACCAAATAAAACATTGGCTACGTCTGGGCGAAACCAGCCCACTGAATACGTATTGAGCAACAAAACACTGACAAAGGAACAAGTAGACTATTATAATAAGAATGGATTTTTGGTAATTCCAAAACTTGTGTCTGAAGAGAAATTGGATAAATATAGGTATGTGCAATACTCAGTACCCACAGACTGCATGTTTTTTTCTGCATATATGCAAAATAAAAGTTATTGAAAGAAGATAATAAATAAATGAATATTTTTGTTATATTCTTATAGCTACAAGACATTTGATGTGGAAACAAAATATTCCGCAAATTATATTCAATCTAAAAGTCGTACATTTGAAAGTTAATTAACATAAATACGTAATAATGTGCTTCTATCATATCTTGCAGCAGACATTTTGCAGCAAGCAGTAATATTCGTTTGACATAATGAACATATATGTGTGTGCTTCGAATTAGCCACGTTATTTTCATTTTTACTGTAACTGTAACAATATATGCTGCTCAAACAACGATATTATTTGTTTTTACCACAATAAGTAAATTGGAATATCAAGTTATTCGTTATTGTTGCTTCTTTGTGATTACCAACGATCATGTGATATGCGCATAGGTCATTTAAAACTTAACTTTCTTGGACAATGTTTCCGCAATGCATTGCGTTACATTTTTATTCTTACTTTGTGTGATCTGCAGGAAACCTCTCGCTCCCTCCTGTAAGCATCACAGCAAATGTTGCACGTTATGCAAACACCAAAATGTTCACTAGAAAATGGCTTACATGATTGCAACAATGACAGTTATGTTTGTTTTTGTGATTAGACAGCACAACACTGTTTCTGCGAAATGCAGGCAAGCTTCAATATTTCAGGAATAAAAAATAAATAAATTATAAGTGGTTGGTGTTCCGCATATAATATGTGCGTAAAAGCTGCATTTTATTGTTGATTTGTTCCCAGTTTTCCAGTACATTTCGCAATACCAGAATCATAGAAATAGTAGATATGTGTATATTATCTATCTTGGACAAACTAGTTAATGTAGACATATATGTTCAAGGAAAACATATTTTCCGTTTCAAATATATCGTTGACGCTAGTGTTCGTAATTTGTTGTGTATTACACGTTCCGTATTCACGTAGCTCGAGATGATTTTGTATGGTATTTCAACCACAATACACAAATCTTTTTTCGCATTTCAAAATCCATAATTAAATATTCACTGGTCTTAGTACGTCGAAAAGAGCTAAGAAAAGAGGTGAAATATATTTCATATTACATAATACAGAGAATTAATTATTTGTTGTCCAAACAAAATGACGCTAATAGTCATTGATATCAAAGTGGAAACGACGAAGAAAACGACGACACACGACGAAAATATTGCAATCATTCAAAATCCTTGTTTTACTGTAATGTGAGCAGACATAATGTACTACGTTGCTATTGTTGTTGATAGGAAGTGTTTTGAAGGGATCTGCAAAGGAGATATTGAAAGACCATTTGGTTTGACTGTTATGCGGGATGTGGCAATAGCTAAATCAGAATTCATGCCAGGCCAGCAAGCTATCACAAAGCTGCAGCATTTTCAGGATGTGCCAGATTTGATGGATTATTGTAGTCTGCCAGAGGTACGAAATTAAATAACAACAACATCGACATTATTAATGTGGCTCTGTAATAATAATAACTAAAAGTATATTTCAACATTTTTAGTTAATGAAATATTATTATTGTTATCACTGCACGTAATCCTTTATATCGAAGTATAATGTCGATTTATTTGTTTTTCAAATAAAGGTACTCCAGTACGTTGAAGCATTTACAGGTCCTAATATTATGGCTATGCATACAATGTTAATCAACAAGCCACCAGATCCAGGTACGGTTTTCATGACCTATAGCGTTACAAATGATAGTATTTAGAAATAACGATGGACATATTAACCTAGATGGTATTGTCAGGGAAGGTTGTAGACTGTGACATAGTGGAGTAGTGGTATGAACTGGTGATATCGGGGGAGATGAAGCATAGAGTGCATAGAGTAAAATGGTTGTCTCTGGGCGTTGGCCAAACGGCCAAGCCGCAGAGCAAACAAGTGGACTCAGGTCCTGTGCGCATACGTCTGACTCCATCTGAGTCTAAGCCTCTCTAAGTCTGAGTCTGTTTTGAGTCTGTATCTGAGTCTCTCTAAAGTAACATGTCTTTTTATAAGGTAAATCACGTGATCTAATTGATACATCACATTACTCAAAACACCATTTATGATAGGACAGTTATTTTATTAAATTGATACACCCGCATAAGCTACCCGAAATACATTGAATAAAACACAGTCCCTCTATCTATGATAGAGGGACTGTGAATAAAAATACAAAAGTGATTTTAGCACCTCCACGTGGTTAAATGCTTTACCAGCTGATTTGTCACAGGTGATAATGTTTTACGAATTATTTTAATACACGTGGTGCCATACACTGTCAGCTGCCCATATACCACATAATTGCTAAAAGTGACACGGATATTGTTTTAGAAACGACGCTTGTTGATAGCAATGTGAAGATACGCTTGATATTATTTCACTACAAGCGTTACCCGTGGGAATTCTGACAACGCCCATGATGGGTGTCCGTATGAGCGATATGACGGTATGCAATCCTTTAGTGTAGATAATATATTTGCTGATTTAAATAAATATCATCTATATTTAGCTAATGACATTAGTGAATTAAATAAATTGAGATTTTGCATCGTAAACTTGTTGATTTTATACTAACTGTATGTCGAATGTTACCCCTGCACACTTGCATCTTGTTTACCTGAAATTAATAAACAATAAACGTTCAAAAATTAGATTCAAAATTTCAGCTGTTTTTTTTCTTGGATTTTGTCTAAAGATCTGCGGTGGGTATATTTCTTCAACTAACAATTTAAATTCCTAGTCAGAATATATTTTGTAATTGGTCTAGTAAAAGAAAACGAAATATGATTTGAACATCTGATCTAGGATACATTCTGCATTGAATATACTTTATTATAGGCACTAAAAGTTCCCGTCATCCAATGCATCAGGATCTTTACTATTTCCCATTCCGTCCAGCTGACAGAATTGTGGCTTCATGGACAGCAATGGAAAAAGTTCATCGTCAAAACGGTTGTCTTGTTGTACTGCCCGGAACACATACAGGAGAATTGCTGGAACATGACTACCCCAAATGGGAGGTATATAAAGGCTAGTTTAAACCGACAGTAGTGCATATGCCATATCAATGTTTGACTAGGGGATTGTCTGACGGTGAATGCAATGTGCATGTCTGTAGTTATTCTTTCGTAGCAGGAAAATAAAAGCAAATTAACAAAAAACTAAACGCGTTCGTCTAGCCTATAGCGTTACTGACATGTGAAAAAAAAACATAATAGCAAAATTAATCGTCTGTTAATCCTTTAATTTCTTTCAGACATATAGGTTGTTGTAATAGTATGCTCAATAACGATTAGAGGATGTCTTAATCACAGTTTAATTTTTAATATGTTTTATTCTTTATCCATAACGAATGACTAACAATTGTGCAGCTCAAATGTATTGCAGATAAGTAATTAGATTCATGGAATCATTAATCAAATTCCTACTAGAAATCTGTTCCCGAAACACTGTGTTGAATATAGCTCGCTATAACTGCATATATTCAATTGTTAGGGTGGTGTAAATAAAATGTACCATGGCATATTAGACTACTCGCCTGACCAACCACGTGTTCATCTGGAAATGGAAGCAGGAGACACTGTGTTCTTTCACCCTTTGCTCATTCACGGATCTGGAGTCAACCGCACAAATGGATTCAGAAAGGTACGGTGGAAAGTTTAGTAAGATATTCATTGATAATTGAAAATAAAAGGTGAAACTGAAAATGGGGATAACATTCTGATTCAAGTTACGTTTGATAAGCTAATTTACGCTAACATTGCTTAAAAGTGAAAAATCATTAAATGTTGATCATTTTCATTGAACAAAAAAAGCCTGACAGATACAAATACTGGAATATCTAGTGCTTGAAGATCATTGCAACAACCATTCAAAAGTGTCGAATGTAAATAATTTGTGAATATGCAAATGAAAACAACAGCTATTATATGTGGTCTTGTGATAGTATTTAGACTCGTTTCTATACATAAACTGCTTGAATGTAACACTAATTTCACAATACAATATCTGCTCATTACAGTCTATATCGTGCCACTACGCTAGCGCTGATTGTATATACACTGATGTCAGTGGCACTGTACAGGACAGAGTTGCTAAGGAAATCTTGTCAGTGGCTGAGGATAAAGCTAAGAAGATGGGTATAGATTCCCCTAAATTTGAGTATGAAGTAAGTTCATTTATTATGTGCAGATTTTATTTTATTTTGGGCGTTTAGGGGTTATTTATCATCTGATAAATAGATAAATTGTTTTATTGATTGGTTGATTGATTTTTACATGAAAGATTAGGTAATCTTTCCAATAATTATTTTAAATTCATTAAGCATTTAAATATATTGTATTTCAATTTAATTTGTTTTCATTTTCTAATCTTGATTTGTTCACTATTAGTTTTGGAAAGTAACACAAATATCATTTGTTGCAGGATGTATGGAAAATGAAATCCCGTCTTGTGCAGGGAATTGCCGGCAATCTACAATGATTTATATTTGCTCATACCATTGATCCGACAACCTTCGACAATGAGGATTCATAAAGTGTCATGATAACAAATATAATATACATACATACCTACATAGTGCCACAAATATATCTATAATGTCACATGCAAATATTAGCCACCTTGAATAGAACGATTGATAGTTGTGTATTGTTTCTTGATACATCCATGATGACACGTTTATTAAAGGGCGGCAGTCGTCGCGCTGCGCCCTGTTCGATATGGGACTCATAGCGACGTATACAACGCGTGTAAAATACATGGTTTATTTACATGGAATTCGAACACGCGCTGCGCGACGACCACCGCCATTTAAGCTCAGACATCTAATATACGAGTACTGGATAAGAAATACGAATGTGAAATCATATTTTAATCAATAAATTATCAGTTACATATGTGACTTTTGTAATCTGGTTACAAATCGATTTGGAAATTGTTGTGTGATATTAAAATACCTATTATACATCACATTTCTTTCTTTTTTCATGTTTTTAATTCCACACTAGTGTTTATATCCATTTTTATCGGTTCTAGCAGCGTTCTGCAAATTTCAATTTCCTTACATAATTTGTCTTCGCAAACGTCACAAGATGCACGAAGTTTGAAAGTAACATACTACGTGATTTTATAAGTTCGAGGAGTAGAGGCCTTGATTCGTGACCCATTTCGGGCAATTAATTTCTTGAGAGGGTATCTGAAATATGCTAAGCTGAAAATATAAATGCGGAATCGATTCTAAAAGTAATGGACAGTAAAATGATAACCTGGTCCCCATGAATCATTTAGTTCTCCGATGATGACTTCGGCTGAATTATGCATTTGCGTATTGGTGACTTGTTGCTGTTGTATGTCACATTGCCAATATTTACAGTACAAATCTAGGGCACCAGGTTCTATACTACATAATTATGTTAATATCAAATATTGAAAGGAAATTTACAGATTATATTTACAATTTACTAATATGACATTTTGTATAGATTTGAGCAGAATATATAAAGTATCTATTTGACACTTATAAATTCACTGTTTTGTTGCGATATTCTATTGTTTCCACCTATTGTGTGAGTTGGAGTTGGGCAACGTGCGAGATTTTCCTGATAACCCCGACGTTCGGATTACGGCGCCGGACCAACGTAGCCGAAGAACTGCAACGAACTACAATTAAAACCGTCCAAGTTGAGGTAACTGGCTATGTTGTGAACCAGATACACCATTGCACCACTTTCCTTGTGTGCGAAGTTGTCGCACGCGTTAGATAAACATGATTATGTCAAGACACACATGGGCCTACTCTGTGAATCAAAGTTTTTTTTATAAATTATAATTATTTTTGTCCCTCTCTGAATGATTTATAACAAAACAGTGCTTTCTTAAAATCATGAACACCGTTTTAAAATAAAAGATTTTTACTATTTTGGGCAATACATTTAAAGTGTTCATAAGCTTTCTTTAATTAAAAGCGACAATAGCTGTTATTATAATTTTTTGTTTACACTATTTTATTTTTAATAAACATTTCCTGTGTCATTAGTATCAATTCGTAACAACCTTCGCTAAAATGTGGACACTGAAAGCATAGCATATACTCTATATACCGACGTTGTACATTAAAGCGCGGTAGTCGTCGCGCTGCGCATGTGCGAGATATATGGGTCTCATATAAACAAAGATGGCGACTTTGACTGTTGCGCAGATCAACGAGTAGGAACTGACACGTTTCCAAGCTTTAATTAGGTAATTTTCATGTGATTGGAAGGTATCGAAGGAGTCACCGGCGGTAATCAGTGCAAGTCGCGCCCAGGTCAAACCTCATACTTGTGATTTCCATTTGAAGAGCGCATTGAATTGTGGGAAAATCA